GACCTTTACAAGGGAGTTTTGGTGAAGTAGTAGGGATAAAAGCCCAAATGGAGTGGGTATAAAAGAAATGAGAAGGGTGCGGTGGCTCACACCTGTAATCCTAGCAGTCTGGGTGGACTAAGTGGTGGAGCTCGTGAGCTCAGGAATTCAAGACAAGGTTGACCAAGAGCAAGACCGTGTCTCTCCTAAAAAAAAAAAAAAAAAAGGAAAAAACTAGCTAGGAGTTGTAGCGGGTACCTGTAGTTCCAGCTACTTGGGAGGCTGAGGCAAGAAGATCACTGGAACCCAGGAGTTTGAGGTTGCTGTGAGCTATGATGCTGTGGCACTCTACCCAGGATAACAGACTAAGACTCTGTCTCAAAAAAAGGAAGGAGGGAAAGAGGAAGGAAGGAAGGAAATCATAGGAGTAGGAGACAGTGAATGAATAAAACAAGGAGTTCATAGGTGGTGCCTGTGGCTCAAGGAGTAGGGCACCCGACCCATGTACCGGGGGTGGCAGGTTCGAGCCCGGCCCTAGCCAAAACTGCAACAACAACAACAAAGAAAGGAGTTCAGAGAAAAAAAGGTGTAGTACCTGGGAGAGAAAATTGGGTCAGACAAGAACTGGGTTTTTCTCTTTGTTTTGGTTTTTGTTTGAAACAGGGTCTCTGTTGCCCAGGCTAGAGTGCAGTGCCACAATCATAGCTCACAACAACCTTGACCTGGACTCAAGCTATCCTCTTACCTCAGAAGAGGATTGCTTGAAGCTAGGAATTTAAGAACAACCCCAGGAACCTGTTCCTTAAAAAGAAAAAAAAAAAGGCTGCTGTACTTCTACTCCCAGCTACTTGGGAGGCTGAGGCAGGAGGATGGCTTGAGCCTACATGTTGGAAGTTACAGTGAGCTATGATTGGTATCCCTGCATTCCAGCCTGGGCAATAGAGTGACAGAGTGAGACCCTATCTGAAGAAAAACTACATTTGACTGTGTAACATTCATATTTTAAGGCTCTGGTATCTCCTACCTGAAGAAACTCTGTAGGATGACTTATGGATGTTTTCATGACCTGGTTGCTGGCTCCTTTTCAGTCCTCCTCTCTTGCAGCTCCCTCCTCCCTCCCTTGAGATTGCACTTTGTCTGTCAGATAAGACTGTGTACCTGGGGTATTTGATTTGCTCGCCTCTCTGCCAGGGGTCAATTCCCAGCTTAAAGTCACCACTGTGACTGTGCCACACCCACCCAACATGCTCCCTGCTTTGGACCTCATAGCGGTTTGTACATCACAGGATTTGGTTTCCTCTGCTACACTGTGAATTCTGAGAATGTTCGTTCATACTTGTATCTCTGGTTCTTAACACGTTCTTTTAAGGTATTATTGATGACCTGCTTGGGCTTACTTTTAAAGAATATTTTATGCTGTGAATAAGGGGAAAGTTATTTTCGTGCGCAGTCTGTCTTCTTTATCTGGAGTGTGTTTGTATCTGACATGCCTTCACCCGCTTTCATCCTCAGCCCCAACCTGGAAAGCACCTTCCCCTTCAAGAAGCAGCTTATGTCTTCTAGAAGCCTTGCCTGCCTCTTCTTGTAGAAACAGGTGAGCTCTTTGTGCATTTCCTCAGCATCTCATACTGTAACTCAGTTGTAGGGTCTGTTCATTGGATTATAGTGAGAAAATCAGAAGTAAGCCCTGTGATGGCTGGTGCCCTGTGCTCTCGGATGCATCCTTGGCCTCACTTCATTTCTTGTCTCAACATAAAGGCTGAATAAATATTGAATAAATGAATTTTTTAATTTTTTTTTTTAAACAGTCTCACTCTGTGGCCCCATGTAGAGTGCTATGTAGACTGGTGTTATAGCTGACAGCAGTCTCAAATTTCTAGGCTCTAGAATTCTTCTTATGTCAGCCTCCCAAGTAACTGGGACTACAGGGTCCCAGCACAAGGTCTGGCTATTTTTTGTAGAGATGGGGTCTGGCTCTTGCTTGGGCTGGTCTCCATCTCCTGAGCTCAAGCGATCCACTGGCCTCGGCCTCCCAGAGTGCTAGAATTATAGGCGTGAGCCACCAGGCCTGGCAGATTAAAAGAATTTGTAAGCACAGATTTTTTAAAAATTGACATGCTATTGACATGAAAGGTCCTATCACTCTGGTTTTCCTTTTTAAGGTCCTTTTCATGTCACTAGCTTTATAATCTTATAATATTCCAGAAAGAAGGCCAAACATTGACCAAAGAAAAAAAGGCAGAAACACTGTATTTATTTTTTTAACCTTGTTCTTTTCCTAGAATTAGGTTAAGATGTATCTGTTTTGGAAAAATTTTTAAAGAAATACGCATATTGCCTAGGGAAATGTATCTATTTCAAACAACAACAACTTTGAACTTTGAATTCTTTTTCTTTTAGTTTGGGATGTGGTAATGCCAACCAGACTTCTCAGAGCCCTGGCCGGATCTCACCGTGTATTGTCAAAAGCCCAGCAGGGCCTGAAACTTGTTCATGTACCATTGGGACCACTTAAGGAATTTGAACATGTGAAGTGCAGCACACAGACAGTGCATCAAACCTGGGATTTGTTCTTTCCTGATACTGCAGCTGGGGGTTTGATCCTGGCAACGAACCAGAAAATATCAAATCCAAGCATATTGTCTCCGTTAAGTGCTACACGTGGCCAGGATGAAAAATCTCACCCTCCCACCATGAAGTCATTTGGTGCTCCGAGGAAAGTGACCCACAAACCGAATGTATTGGGTCCTAAATGGTTCATAAAAATACTAAAGAGGCATTATTCATCTATATCAACGGAAACGTTTGTTCCAAAACAGGACTTTCCGCAGCTCCTGAGACCACTAAAACCGTCCAGGACCAGGCAGCCGTCCAGGACCAACCTTCCGGTTCTGTCTGTGAATGAGGTAAATCAGTGTGGTTGTTGCACTTGTGTTTAGGGATCACCAGTCACTCTCCAAACGAGTGTGCGTTGCACCACAGCCTTGCCGCTCATGTGAGTCAACGGGCAGCCAGCTCCAGACTTTTCTTCAGGATCTTTGAAGCCTACTATGTCCAAAGGGAATCAAAATCGTAAATTTTAAGAATTAGTGATTCATATAAAAACAAAAACGTAGGCCATAAAAGATAAAAATACAGTTGTAAGGCTCAGCGCCTATAGCTCAACCGGCTAAGGCGCCAGCCACGTATACCTAAGGTGGCGGGTTCGAATCCCCAGCCCGGACCCGCCAAACAACAATGACGGCTGCAACCAAAAAATAGCCGGGC